AAGCAGTCATCCTTTTCATTCAAAACATCTCCCTGATTATCTAGAGATTATGAGAATTTAGATGCTCAGTGTTACAGAAGCCTACTCAAGTGACCGAATTAAGTATGAAATTGCATCTATCATTTAAAATTATGACAACAGAAACTGAATTTTAAAAACAATGAGAACTTAGAAGTGGCTTTGGTTACAGTGTCCTCAACATTCGCATTTTGTCATACATTTTGAAGAGTTTTAGCACGATCAGGCTGCAAGCTCCCTGTAAGCTCCTCTGGGAGTCAGTTCTGCTCCCTTTTCCATCACTTCATTTTGCACACAGACAAGAACGACACACACAGTACTGGACAAAGGCAGAATATGGCTACAAACAACCTTCAGGAGCCTTCATTTCAGCTTTGACCCCATGCAAAGAGAGCTACAGGAAACTGTTTGGACGCCTCTGTTACCTTTCACTATAGCCCTCCCTAGTTCTTTGCATGTCAGTCGTTCCCCCCACCAGCACACACCAGTACATGCTATGATGTAAATAAAAAATCTTCCACCAGACCTGCAGTCACTTAATGAGTGTAAAAACACATTTCTTGTATGCCGCTGGCAGCAGCAGTACAAAAAAATGAAGCCTTAAAATGATTTGCATGGATGTTTTGTAAAGTCTTTAAACATTTTTCAGGGTTTCTAGGTCAGGTCATCATCAGATATTTCCAAGTGGCTGAGACAAGCCTGAACAGCCGTATCCTGTATCAGGAAAGAGCAAGGCCCGCAGCTTACGATGTGGTAAGTGATTAATCCTTTTCCCGAAGCTCTGGAAGGGGAAAATTGCAATGGGACTAGGACAACCTCATTGAAACCCCACCAGACCAAACTTCTCATGAACAGTAGAGAAGACAAAATGGAACTGACACGTCTTCATTTACCATATCCATCCCTCTAGACATCCACATAGACACACCATCTGCTGTACACCTGCAGGTCTAAAAATGAAGAAACAGAGCATTATTGACACCAGTATTTAAAGAAATTTAAGTTCTGGCAGTGGAGAATGGCAGTGCGTGATGCCATCCTTGTCCAACAAGTCCTCTGTGTTCCAGCAGTCTCCAGATGGAAGTCACCTACCATATGGGCTGACGCACCCTGTTAGTTTGTGGCAACATCATTATACCACAGCCTTTAAGTATTTTTTGCTAAATATACATCTGCCCTTGTTATTAGAAGATCCCTTTGGTAGTTTCTACTTTATTCAACTCAAGCTTGATAGTTGGGTCTTTGGGTTTTGGTGTGTTTTTTGTGTGTTGTTTTGTTTGTTTGTTTGTTTGTTTGTTTTAATTGCAATATGAATCATTAAATTAAGATGATTTTCTACTGCTGATGCTTCCTGCATACAATAAAAAAAAATTATCTGCCATAAAACCAGCCAACATGCATTTCTCTGAACAGGAACATCTAGAACAGATACTTGGAAACCACATTAGGCAGAAACCAGTTCCAACTGTATCTGAAACATGAAACTGGGAGCGAGGGAGAAACAAAGTCCAAATGAAACAAAAAAGTACACAGCACAATTATCAAACAGAAACTTTAGGAACTTCTAGTCATACTTTTGTATATTCCCAGATTTCTCCCCACTTAGTGAGGCATATTTTAAGAACACTTTTAACCTTCCCACCCCTATTTCAAAACAAAGATCAAAGCGAAGTCGTTTGGATGGACACCTTCCGCTTCTTATGCAATACAGATTTAGACGCTGCACTTCAAAACCCCAGCCGTTACTTCAGCACCCAGCAGTCCAAACATTATTTCAGCCCTTTGAAGCAGCCCTAATGGTATCTTCCATTTGCAAGTAACACTTCTGTAGTCAAAGATCTTACTCCAAGGAGATGTTAATGTGAAACCACTCAGACTGCAAAGAGACACACACTCCTGGAGGCAGACTGCAAAGGTGTTTAGAAGTCAATGTAACACCATTACGGCGAGTGTCAGCTTAGAAGCTGTCATAAACACTTCATAATCACTCACACACAAACTGGACTGCCTGCAACACATTATTTTATTAAGTGCTGAATAGAGGTTCAATTGTATGAATAAATAGCACAATGCTAGAGATAATAGCCTTACTGAGTAGATTTTCACATAAATGTCAAATTGTTGCTTTTTCAGATTGAAAGGTTTTTAAACTAGAGAGATCTCTTTTTTTCTTAATAACTGGACTAATGTTACATAATCACAAGCTAAATACTGAGCAAAATCAAGAAGAAAGGATATGTTTGTATAGTATCAGAGGACAAAAAGCTGTTGTCCGCCAGATTTTTACTCAGGTTAAGTAAGCAAAAAAAAATAAATAAATGGATAAACACAAATGTGTAAATACAGGTTATGTTACCTCCAGGCACATGGTATACAGGCTCTGAAAAGGTATTTAAAAATTGGTGTTACGATGTTCTCTATCAATGTGAGAAGCTATCCAAGACCATGTTACTAACAACAGAACCATTCGGACACTGAAATTATACTAAGACAGACAAATTGCAGTATTGCACAGGATGAAGCTGTGCCTCTTTGGATGTGGTCTCATCACAATTTCACAGGTTACACAAATAAGGACTGGCAAAGTGATGTGCTATCTCTACAGCTGACATGCTTAGGACGGAAGGTACAACATTTCCACAGTCGGCATTTTCTTCCACTTCACTGGACTTTCACCCCCATTAAGAATACCTCCTCAAAAAAATGAACAATAAGAGAAACTTTCTTGCAATTTCATTTTATTTTTCCTAAATTATTAAACACTATCAAATTCTAGGGATTACGAATAAGTGCAAAACACTGGGAAAATACAACCTGATTGCACTGTCCTGCTGAAAAAGGAGGTAAGAGCAGGCATTCCATGGCCTAGCCTGTGGCTAATCCAGACACAAGAAGAAAACAAACAAAACAACTAAAAAAAACAATCCTCTCCCACTGGAAAACATGGATAAATTACATCACACTACCTACCTGAAAGTACCAGTGAACAGACTTACTCCACATAAGCCAGGATAAGCGTGAAGTAGTTTAGCTCCCCATTTGTTAGTAAAATCCACCAAATTATTTCACGCTTACTGCAGTGAACCATGGGTTAAGAGTTTAAACGCAGACGGCTAATGCAGAACAGGTTACACTGAGGTAATCAGTTCATGTATCAAAGAAATGAGATGCACTACTGCTTTCACTCTTGCTTGCCTTATACATGTAGGATCCCATCTCACAATGAATTTCTCAAGAGCATTGATACAGATAGCTCTTACAAAGACACCCTTTCATTCGGACACAGAAAGTCACTTAAGAGGGATGCACAGAACTCTCACCTCTCCACAAAGCAAGGGCACATTACAGATGTGTGCACACACATACACACAAAGCAAAACAAAAAACTGTCTGCCAGACACAAAGCTCTTCTTACTGTATGTACAGCGGCCAGGACAAGTCCAATGTCACCACAATGTACTGCCGTACATTTTTCGGAAAATACACATTTATTTGGACAATAATATTTCAGCAGGATAATCTGAGCTGTTTTACAAAAATTCTTCAGCTTAAATCTAAATGACTACTCACAGTCTCTTAACTAAGTGATCACCTTGCAGTATAGAACTGCAGTAATAGCAGGAGGTATTTCCTTGTTAGCTCGGTATCTTAGTGACACCTAATGTCCGTTTTCTGTAATACACTTCAAAGAACAAAGCATTTCTGAACCATTTTAATAATCTATTTTGTATAGTAATGTAGAATTGGCCTGTGTTCAAAATGTTGTACAAAACTTTAAACTATGAAACAATTTTTAGTGTTCAAATTCTTTCCAGTGTTAGATATTTTTAAAAAGTGAACAAGCAACAAGCTAGCTTTGCTACATCACATGCTTTTCTGCCCTAAGAAGATAAAATAGGAAAACAATCCGAAGATATGTTTTGCTCCCTTTAAGATAAAGCCAATGAAGTTAGAATTAGCCATGGTTTCTCAGGACATACTAGCAGATAGAGATTCCATTTATATACTGAAACTTAGTAAAGTACACCAGATCTTTGTTTCTATTAAACCCTCCTTCAAATGCCAAAGCTCAGCAGTTTTTCTTCCTTAGCTCCAGCTAACAATATGTAATTAAGAGGGGAAAAAGCCAGCCCTCCCACACCCCAGTAAACTCCATTAGACAGTGCTTATCTTTTGGTGTACAAAATAAAGAGTATTTTCTATTACAGCACCTACGCTACTGGTATATAAACTTGTCCTACACAGCTAACCCCGAAGTCATACAAAAAGATACACATTTCAAAAAAGCCCTGCATTTTATTAAGAGAAAGAACTCCATCCTCACTACATTATTTTGAAGAACAAGGTGTTATGAGCAAAACTTTTTTTGAGTTAAGAATTTTATGACCTACTGTATTAAACTTTATTCTATAGTTCAAGAAATTTGGGGAAAACTCCCCAAATTAAGACCATGTGTTCATAAACCATTCTGAAGCACAAACTGCAGGGTGTGTATGACAGCATAAAATCAAACCCATATGCACATAGAGACTTATAATAAAATTAAAATTGCAAATCATGTACATGACAAACACTGTGATTGTAAAATACTATTAATACTGTCATGCTTGCATTCCTAGGACAAACAAATTCTTTTCATATTTTTCCACCCTCTTTTCCCTTCTGTAGGTTAAAAAGATTTGTCCTTTCTGGAATATAAACTATTCTACAATGTCATATGCTGCTCCCAATTAGACTCCGAAAATTTACCTAAAAGAAATCATTTGTAATAACTCCTCAAATCTGAAGGTACAGGAATTCAAGTGTTTGATCTATGCTCAGTACTAATCTTAAGATAAGTATATTACATGCACAGCACATGGCACTGATGGTAACTATTGGCACTACTTATTTTAATAGGAAAAAATAAGATATTAACGTACTGGCACACCAGTACAAACAAAAACACCCCTGTCGTAGAAGAGAAGGTAACTGGTACTCACAGGTATGCTCCAGATTTGCATTCCATCACTGTAGCCAATCATCAGCAGTAATGGTGGTTCATTCCCAGTGCTATGTATTTCATGAAACTCCATATTCCTTGACGTATCTAAATTGGGTTTAAATATTAAAGACATTAGTTAACAGGTTATGATCAGCTATGGTTAGCATCAGCTATACTAGAGGTGTTTTCTCACTAGGCATTTTCTCAATGCTTGCTCCCATTTTTGTAATTAAAGGTAAAGAGAAGTGTCTTAATTTCTTACACTGAAACAACACTGGAATATATTTTTAGGCAAACAATACATTCATTGAAGTGGAGAAAATATTCTTTATCAGTTATCACAAATACCTCCAAAACTTCTGTAACTCTTTCTCCAGTCATTAATAAAACACGGCCAACTTTTCAAATAGAGAAAGGATCATTAAAACAAACATTAACAAATACTAAAAGTACAAATGCAGACTGATCAAAGCTCTTTCTAAATACTGTATTAATAATCTTTATATCAACTTCATGAAAAGAAAGAAATCCCCAGGAACAAAAGTGCTACAGAACATAATAATGAAAAAATTAAGCTTTTCTCTAACACCCTTTAAAACTACATTTTCAAGACTGAACAAAAGCTCATTGCAAGCATGTGACCATCAAAGAGAGAGAGGAAATATTCAGGATGGTAAATGACCATGTACGCAGGCCCAATCAGATTAGGCTGTGTAAATTCAATTTAGACTGAATATGACAGATTCTGAAGAATATTCTAAAGCATTTTTGTTACGCTGTAGAAAAGATCCTAAAGAGAGAATGACCAAGAATTTTTGAAAATAAACAAAAGAGGAAAAGATACACTCAAGGAAAAAAACTTCAACCAGCCTTAAGCTGGACATAAGGCCATGTACCAGTTGATTGGTGTTTTCTAGTTCTAACAATCATGAATTTATGAACTGACAGGCTCTGTGCCATTTCAACAGCTGGAAAACATATAATCTTCCCTATTAACCTATTGGAAAAACTGAAAATTCCCCATCATAGCTCTGGCTACGGTTTCTATTACTTCATATGAGACCAGAATGAGCCTTTATCATACAGCTCTAGGCAGGAAAGAAAGACAGTAAACAAGGAACAGCACAAGCAACTGCTAAACGTTTGATTAATGTGAGTAGTTGCTTGACAGCAGCATTCAGTCTTTCCCCTTCAGTCTCTAATCTTTGTGTGTTTTTTGGTTTTTGTTTGTTAAAAAAAAAAAAAAAAAAAAAGCAGCTGGGATAGACAGAGGTAAAACACCTCTTTTCTTATCTGGAGATGTACTTTACTTGATACAGTTAGCAAAAGCCTATGACCATTTCCTCTTCATGTCTTGACGCTGAACACCAGTTGCCAGGCAGTAGTCTTTGCTGATGACTAAGACACACTGGAAGTGGTAAGTTAACATTTTAAGAATATTTTGTGGCTACGCCTTTTTATTTCCCTGAAAGACATGATAGAACTGTCTGATCACTCTCCCTACCAGCTCCTCCTTTTTAGGTTATTATGAATTCTTATCATATCACTGAAAATATATCCAGGACTTGGACTGGATTCACAGGTAAGATAATCTGTCTTTGAAACCAAACAGTGGACAAAATAAATTCAGTTCTATGCTTTGTCTTCAACTACCTTAAGGAAAGAAAAATGACTTCTTCATTCAGTTTGCCCCTCTTCCTACGCAAGTGCTAGTTTGCCTTCGGATGAACTGGCAAGACCTATTTGTTTTATTTCCTATGTACTGAATAAAAATACAGTTATTCACTGATAGAAAAACGAAACCATACCATTTAAATCTGCATTTTCAAATCTGACCCAAATGATCTTCTCCTTTTCTTCTGCTGGTGGGGTACCACTGTAGGCCTGGATGAAAAGCAAAAGAGTTGAAATAAAGTTTAACACCTATTTTTTCTCCCTTTATAGAGCAAAGGAGGGAATGTAAACTGAAAAATAAAAAATAAAACCAGTAACATTGAGATACCTGTCACCACTATTACTGTGAGGTTTTGTTTCAAAAATCAATGGATTTGTGATCAACATAATCCATACTAAATTCTAACTAACTCAAAAATTCTAACATCGCTTACTGAAGTAGAAGTGACAAGCTATATATATATAACAGACAGCTTTCTGGAGCAGGTTAGAAACACCACATGACCTACAACAATGTAGTCAAGCTAAAATACAGCAATTTCTACAACCTTTAACTTTTTGTTCTTAGAGGCAGTGCACAACAGCTATGCTAGAGGTTCTCATGTGAGGCATTTTTACTTCTAAAGTTCTTTTTTTATTCACTTAAAGGCTCTGTAACCAAGACTGAGAGAAGAAAGAGACCTTTACTACAGTTTATTTTATTGGCATGTTCTAGTTCTATATGTGACATCTTTAATATAGCCATTTAAAAGAGAATAAACTCTAATTCCAGAAGAACAGCCCCACATTTCAGTTCTGTGTTCCACAGATTCCCATAAGAAGATGAGATACAAAAAGAAACTGTGAAGGAGACCTGCAGTGTTTCCAAGCTGCATGTTTTACAGTTCTCAGGAGAACTGCAGTAGTAAGAACGTGAGCTACAGTAGAAATACCATCACTTCCAAATGAATTATGGCAAAATACTATGCAGTACATTGGAATAAATATGAAACGAGTTCATATAATCACTTTATACATGCCAGAAAAGCAATAACATGAGCTAAAAATACAAATTTAAAAAATAAGTGTGGGTATTGCTTTCCAAAACAAATCACATTCCATGCTTCCAAGGCAAACTGATTTGTAAAATAAAACACAGACTGTATCCTTTAACTACAGAGGAAAAGAAGGTAGGGGAAGGATGCAGCAATCTTTTAAATTGACAGTTTGACTAATTTAATTTTGACCATGAGTCCAAAAATGCATTTAACAAGTCAATATGAGTAAGAGGATTTTTTTTTAAATATCATTAAAGAAATTCATGACTTCAGTTATTCAAGATAGTCATTCAAGTAAGAACCAAGATAGTTTCCTGAGGCCACTGGCAACTAGCTGCAACGCTTCTCCACTAGTGACTGTAGCTTTCCGAAGAGCAGCAAAACAAAATTAGCTTCCCTTTGGTACTGAGAGGCCCATGAGCAATACAGAAGTGACCATTCCAGTTCCATGCTTCTGTATTTCCTATTACCTGTGGAAACTATGATCAACAGCAGACAGAAGCACTGTAGTTGTTTTTTTGTTTTGTTTTTTATTTTGGTGGAGATTTTTGTTTGTTTGTTTTGTTTCAGAGGAAAAAAAAAGAAATGAAAAGAAGGAAGAATGCCCCAAGAGCCAGGACATTCCCAAAGCAAGTTAAGCAAACAAGATTTTGAAAAAAGAAGCAAAGGAGGCAAAAGAAACTCTCTCCTTTTCAGCCAAAGATAAAGGCTGACAAAGAGCAACTATCAATTTGTCCCAACACCAATTCTGCCAGCAGAGCTCATACACAGGTTTCCAACTACAACCCAGAAAAAACACATTTGTAAGGGGCAGAGCAATTATTACGCCCACTCTCTTCTCTCCATAACTATCCTGTTGCCAAAATTATCACAGGAAAAGGCAGCAATCTTCTTCCTGCTATTTATATGGTAGCTCTTCAATTTCTGGGCATCTAAGACTTTCATTTAAATTAAGACCTATCAGAGGAAGTCTCTAGGCCCAGTTTTCAGATAGTATGCAGTTTGTGCTCTCAAAAGCCTGGTCTCAAAATTTATAGTAACATAAATAAATACGTAAGTAATAGAAATAAATAAGTAAATCATGTTTTTAATATTTTGGTGCACCTGGCAGCGACTTCAGCTGCTCAGTATACTTTGCATACTGAAGACTTTTGAAGATGTACACGTACCTGTGGCACAACATCTTGAAGAAACGTAACAACGCTTTCCATGTATGACTGTTCCCTTGAAAACAGAAGGAGAATGTTTTACTACTAAAGTTCAGAAATGGTTGTGAATACACTAAACAAGATGTATCACCAGAAAAGACACATATTATGTTTAACACAAAGAAAAATACTAAGTATTCAATGCAGTTACTTAACATTCTGTCAAACACTGATAATGTATGTAGTGGCCTAGAAGTATGTAGAAAGTAAATTATTTCATTATTCCATAATGAAATATGGAATAATGAAATAACTGCTCTGGTAAAAGTATAAAATGTAAGTCAAGAAAGAAACCACTTTCTCCACCTCAGACTGAATGACGAAAGCAAAACAGGAAATTATTTCTCAGTATTTTTCTACTTGATTTGGACGTTATACCATGAATAAGAGGACTTAAGCTAATGGTTGGAGGTGCCCTTGCGGGGCAAGTGAACTTCCTGACCTCACATGCACTACGTACAATGATGAAGTAAGTGGAAGTGGCAAAGGACGGAACACAATCCTAACCAAGAAGTGTAGAGATATTTCTAGTTATGATTTTACAGCTTGGGAGGCTTATTCCTTCTTGGAATTTCATTAGCAGCAATGATTTAGAATAGTATATAGTGTAAGTATAGTGTAATAGTATATAGTGTATACATTTGTTCTGGTAGATTTAAACTAATGTTTTTATTAGCTTAGTCTTGCGTGAGCAATGAGGCTCTTGTGTAACTGCTGAGCAATGTACAACATCGGCTGATTGTATTAGATGGTGTTGAAACTACAGAAGAAGTTTGTGCTTTCTGAAATGGCTAATACTGAAATATGCTGGCAACAACCTCTATGCTCATTGCTCATGGAGTCTGAAAAACCAAAAAAAAAAAACAAACACAAAAACAACTTTCTTTAGGTAACGGCTTCAGCAGCTCCCAAGCTTATTTGTATTTTGGCAGGCAATTAGTGTTTTCTTCTTGTGCTAATGCAAATTTCTAACAGCAGCAAGGAAAAACTGAAGGTAGGGAAACCTAGGTTCTTGTTAGCCAAAGGCATATGTGTTTTCTATCTGCTTTCAGGAACTATGCAGCGTATGATTCTTTTAACAGAAATTGGAGCATTTAGTAGTTAAGAATGAAGTACTCTCCCCTATATAACAGCAATACCGAAGATACTATAAGTCAAATGCTGGAACACTTGGATCAACTTAACTAGTTGACTCCTCTCTGAGAACAAAAATGAATCAAACCCCTGCAATTTTAGAGTTCAGAAAGCTTATTTCAACCACTGACTAAACTAGATTTCGTTCAGCAATCCAAGGATTAGCGAATCAAATGAATTTTGTTCTACTGCTTTAAGCACAGGCCTTACAAATAAACTGTGGTTTCTAGTGCTGATTCTTCTTTGATTTATGTAGGTCACCAAAACTGTCTTTGAGCCCTTCAGAGCCCTTTATTACCTACCAATAATACTTGTCTATCTTACGGGTATAGTATTAAGTAGCGTTTGAAGTTCCCACGTGGATGCCTACCAGCACGTGTCATACTGTCCTCGTTTTTCAGTTCATGAAAGGAGTACTGGTTTGTTGTTTGTTCCCCCACCCCCAAACTACATCCTGAAACAAAGCCGACGTTTGGAAGATGCTTTATTCACTGTGTGTACTCTAAATCCCTACTAAAGTTGGAAAAACTTCCACAGGATTTTTTTTTGTGCTTTGCAAAAAATGTATCAAAAAAAAAAAAAAACACAGAACACTTCGCATTAGAACTCTCAAAATCCATAGTAGAATCAGGTTCAAAAAGTTTATTATTTATACATTTTTCTTCTTTGTAATTCCACTACCATCTTCCGTTTATAACATTTATAACGTTTAGGAGTTTAGCACAAGCAGCAGAAGTCTACAGGGTGCTGCATGTTGCTCAGCATATATAAATTCTCATATAAAAGATAGTACTTGAAAGTTTTGAAATGAAAAGATACAGCTCATGAACAAGCCACTATATTTAACCAAAAAATGGTATGGTAATCCTATTATTACAGTGTTTTTATTATTTTTCCAGTGAACAAGCTTACTTGGAAGAAAAGCAAACAGATGAGTTTGTTGAGAGATTCCACAATATAACAAATACTTCTTTTACATAGCTGCAAGACAAACCTCTAACACAATTTATTGTGTTACAGTGCTAGGTTATATGTTTTAATACATCCATCCCTGTGAGAAGGTATTATTACAACAACAGCAAGAAAGGAACATGGTACACATGTTCCCTCTGGCCTAAGGAAGAGGTTTGCAGCCATTAATCTATGGCCAGCGTGGTGTTTGTTCAACAAAATTGTGTAAGTAAACAACAAAACTTTATCTTAAAAAGTATTAGTCTTTAAACGGTACAACTCTGAAGGCTGACCAAAGGTTTTGGTGTATTACATTAAAAGCAGCCCATTGAGGGAGACAGTTTGACCTGCATAGGCCCAGGAGACAGGAAAGCACCAACTGCTGACTTTTATTAGAAAATACACAATGAAAAAAACTGTATTGTCAGCAGAAGCTCTCACAGCTGGCTTTGCCAGAAAGTTTGGGCTGGGTTCTTCACATACGAGACAAAAAACATTTCAAATACAGGCTTTTCTTCCAGAAGGTGCTTACGTGACAGCTTGTGGACGAACCACTGCTCCTCCAGTACATCGACTAGGGCGGCGTGGAGATTCTGTCGCCATTGTTTCTTTGCAGATACCTGTAAGAAACACATTTCTTTTTAATAATAATCCTTTGTATAACACTTGCTTACTATACTAGTTTTTCCGTATTTTTAGAATGATGAAGAACTCCTGAAGAAGGAAATAGCTTACTCAAACCTGTCAAACAACGTCCCTTTACAGCACTCTGACTTTTTTTTCCAGTACTTCAATCAACACACCTCCTGCCATGTGTGTGAAAGCAAAAAAAAATCAACACAAAGCAGCATAATAAAATAGAAAATTTTCTTTGAACTGTATATTGAAGATAACGGTACAGAAATACAGGTGTTATAGCATTACGTAAGACCGCTATTTATTGATAAGGCACGGTCTTAGATAATCCTGTGTATAAAAAACAGATACAGTCATAATTGCTATACGATGCGCCCATAAAATCTCTACTGGGTTACAGCGCAGGTAACACAGAAAGCGCGATGAAGCACATTTTACTTTATGTCAGTTTGTTGTACCCCTGTCAAGTTTGCCTCCACACTTGTGGCGTTTCGCGCGTACACCCACCACACCTCCGCTGAAGACAAGGAGACACCTGAGGGGCCCCAGAGGTGCCAGGATCCCGCCCAGCCACCGCGTCCCCATCAACCTGCGGGCTGAAGGGCCGCCAGAGACCAAACCCCACCCGGCCCCAGCTGTCAGCGGGGCTCCCTCCCCGCGGTCCCAGCCCCTCGGAGCTCCGCAGCCCGCCCCCGGTCCCACCCTGACAGGAGCCCCCCGGGCCGGGTCGCGCCGAGCCCCCCTCAGCCTCCTCCTGCTCGCGGCGCCGGCCCCGCACCCAGCGGCCGAGGCGGGGTCGCCCCACAGAAGCCCTCTCGCGGGCCCCGGAGCCGCGAACGGCCACTCTTAGCCAAGAAAAAATAAATAAAAATATACAAATAACCCAGGACGCACCGCCCGGAGCCCCGCGGCGCCCCCCGCGCTGCCGCCCGCGCTGTCCGTCAGGCCGCAGCCGGCCGGGGAGCGCCGGGACCCCCGCCGGGCACCCCCCGCGGCCTCCCCACAGCGGCTCCGCGGGGCTCCGGCCGCCGCCGCCGCCACCCGCCCGGCCCCGGCTGCCGCCCGCCCCCTCAGAGCGGCCCCGTCCCGCCCCTCCCCGGCCCCGCGCCCCTCACCTGCCGCCGCCTCACTGACACTGTTTGGGACCCCCACGGGGAATGACACCCAGCGCACCTCAGGCCCCCAGCCAATCACGCGCCGCCGAGGGCGGGCCGCTCCCTGCGCTCATCCAATCCCCGCCTCGCTTTCCAGAAAGGGGCGGGGCTCGGAGACAGCTGGAGAGCGGCTGCGCCCTGCCCCGCCCCACCCCGCCCCCAAGCTCGGTTGAGGCAGCAAAACACGGGCCCGCGCTGCCCCCTCCGCACCCCCCCCCGCAGCTTTGTTTACATCGAGATCTCGCGAGAGCCGCCGCGCCGGGCCCGCGCACGTGGGCGGGGGCGGGGCCGGCGGGAATGGGCGGGAAGGCGGCGGCCGGGGGGGGGGCTGCGGGAGGCGCTGAGGGGGCGCGTGGCGGTGGGCGCCATTTTGAGGCGCCATGTCTGCCCCTGAGGCGAGCTTAATGAATTGTTTGTATAAAATAAATCGACGTGTAGCGTTTCTGTGCGAAATAGCGAATGTCAGGGCACTGGAGAAGGCTCCCTGGGAAAGGGGGCATGGCTCTGAGCCTGACAGAGCCCAAAAAGTGTTTGAACACCACTCAAGACTCAGGGGCTTATTTTTGGGGAGGTCCTGTGTGCAGCCAGCAGTTGGACTCCGTGCTCCCTCAGGGCTTATTCTAGGATTCCTTCCTTGCTCTTCTCAGCATGAAGGAAGTTTTAAATTGTGGCTTCTCACCTCAGCAAGTTATCATCAAATCATTAAGGTTGAGAATCTTTAAGACTTTCAAAATCTCCCAGTCCAACCATCCCCCTACCACCAATGTCACCCCCTAAACCATGTCCCTAAGTGCCAGGTCCAACCTCTCCTTAAACAACTTGTTCCATCCTAGGGGGAAAAAAGCGTGTTTTTTTCTGAACCACTACATGCATTCAGCTGTTTTTTGATGCCAGGGAACTGTTTCCTCACACATACTGGAGCTGTTTCACAAACAGCTTGTGGGACTCAGGCCTGATTTATCAAATAGGGACTGCGGTAACACATCAGCTACACCCTGCCACACTGCCCGCCTCAGCGCCAGTAATTAATTTCAGGGCCGTCAAATGATAACATACATGTAGGTGGAGAAAATAAACTGCAGCCAGTCCACATCAGCAAGGGAGTTTCTCTACTGCTGAGGAGCTTTGTGTGTTTAACCCTTACCTTCACTCAACAGCTCTCCTGGAGGGAAAAAAACAAAAACAAAAAAAAAAAAAAAAAAAAAAACTGTTTTTTGTCAAGTTTGTTAAAAGTGAAAAAGCAGGTGGCTGTCTCTCCAGCTGGACAAGCCCAAGTCTAGAATCGTCAGAAAGAAACAGGAGGAGGCACCACATTTGAATGTAACCAAGCTTAAGGAAAAATAAATTTGCCTATTTCCCTCTATATAATGTCTTCTTTTTTTTAAAAAAAAAAAAAAAAAATTATAAGGAGCAGCATTAGTCAGGCACAGGAACAGGCTCCCCAGGCAAGTGGTCACAGCCCTGAGCCTGCTACAGTTCAAGAAGCATTTGGACAACGCTCTCAGACATGAGGTCTAATTTTTGGGGTGGTCCTTGGGGAACTGAGGAGTTGGACTCCATGATCCTTGTGGGTCTCTTCCAACTCGGATATTCTGATTCTATAACACAGATACATAACTGTTATACTTGCATTTTTTGTGACTTTTTTTAGTTGAATGTCACAAAGTGAAATTGAAAAGAGGCCATTACTATCACATTTTGATGCAAGGAGTGTTGCTAGATAAGTGTGTGTATATAGCTACAGCTAGCTTTTATGTTCTCTCTCTCCCCCCCCACCTTGTAGCATACAATTTTCAACACTGGGTATAATAAAACTTTGTTAACCATAGGTTACAACCACATACACAAATAAATTCTTGAATCCAATTTGGACAGAGCTCATTACTTTCATCTTGTAAGATTGGGCTGCATTCACTGGCTGGATGAAAGAGAATTATACATTTTCAGAAAGTGTGCAATTCCTCTAGGATTTCTGTAACCATGGTAACATATATAGATAGCAGGCCTAATTCCAGCCAATGTTTTATTGTGCCAGCAGTAAAGAATTAGATTCTAAAAATACCACCCTAGCCCTTGGAATGAAGTATTGGCATTTTACTTCCCCATTTAAAAAATGCAGGTTATATATTGCTACACTTTAACAAACACGTCAAGTATAAAATGCCAAGAATCGTTGCCTAGAACAGCTACGCAGGATGTCCCGTTTCATTAAACAGCCACAGTGAAGGGGAGAGTATTAGATTTTAATGAATACAGAATGAGTGTACTTAAGCTTGAAATGATAAAAAAGAAAAAGGCACCCCATCAAATTTCCACGTTTTATTTAAGTGAACATACACATGGATCCACGTACTCAATGAAATTGTCGTAAAATAACTTAAGAACTTATGTTGAAAGGTATTAGCAGCACCATCAGTATTGGAATAGCAGAAAATTCGTGCTTCCTTAGGACACACATTTATGCCTGGATAAAAATGCCACCATTTGTAAGAGGGATGGGGAATGGCTTTATAGGATGCTTTTGGGAGTTGGAATTTTTAAAACACAGGTTTTTTTTGCTAAATACTTTGCCTATTAATGTTACAAAAATGCAACTAGATAAGATACTGCATAGTATTTTAATTAACAAAGATGTTGACATTGAGCCCCGTAAAGCAAGACTCAACATCTCTGCTTCCACATACATTTCTGAGTAGAGAAATCTAAAATTTAAAAACAAAATATAGACCTAGTGTATTCTCTAAAAGACACACTTTAGGTGGAACATATAGTACTACGAAAATACATATCTTCCATTCTGTTTAATAATTTACTTTAGTGAAAAAGTTGTGAAATTCTCATCACAAGAAGCGTATACAAATTCAAGACCTTAGTAAATTAACAAAAAAGACTTTAATTTTCTTTTAAACAAGGTTTAGCCCCGCTGTAACAATTATACAAGGAAGAAAAGAGACTACATGAAGGAATACAAATTTACACACATTTTACAGTGACTTATACCCTACACATCTACAAAATTCACAGTTATAATACAAGCAAGTACAAGGCTGGGATAAAGCTGTTCGATACCAAAAAAAGTTTCTACTTTAAAAAAGGATAAACGGGAAGAGTTTCAAAACTTCTGCACCAACTTTAAAATTCTAAGCAGGACAAAATACACTTCCTTACACAAATGCCCTTCAGCAAACACACGCTGCTTTCCTGGGTGGATGGAAGAGTGAATTGCTGAGCTTCTTCTGGCCCCGCAGGCTGCGCCGCATGGTCAGCTTGTTTGAGTTTTTGCGCTGTGGCGTTGTGGACATGCCTTCTGGTTGGACAGTAATGTTTCGACTCAGGCCACGCCTCGGCTTCTTCATAGCTGGGCCAGAGTTGGATTCTTCTAATGTCCTTTTAAAGTTCGCTGTGGGTGTCCTCTCTGCATCTTGGGCTTTTGTTTGGCCACTAGGAGACACCTTGAAGCCTTTTTGGTCCGTGCCTGAATTTGTGGAGTTGGAAGGGGAGAGACCTACTGACAAACCATTACTGTAGGATTCATGTATCCTCAAAGCCAATGTTTTGCCACATTTCTCCTCCTGTGGGCCTGAATCCTTCAGGGTTGCTCCTGATGAAGGTGAATTGCTTTTGGCAATCTCATTTGGCAGCTCTACGTATTTCTCTGAGATCATGTTGCTATGCACAAGGGAAGGAACAGACTCAGAAGCATTCAGTCGTGGCCACGGATCATCTTCTAAAAGCTGAAAGGAAAGAAAAAAAATACTTAGGCATAAATAAAATCATTTTACTCCTATTATCCTTTGAGGGTAGAGACTGCATGACAAAGCATTCCTAAATCTTATCAGAGACAGAAAAACTCCAGAACAGGATTATTCCCACACACACGTTGAGAGGCAGGGATGGAGAGGTAGAAACAGATGCATACTGTGGATCTGAGCTTGGTACTGCACAACAACTTTCTCAACGCTTTTATTTCCATCATTCAGTTTGCAAACATCTCATAATGGCAGACAATCTCTTCATTCAGAAGGCTGTTCAGACCCCTTCATCCCATGAATCTTCCTTTTTTGCTGCTATAAAGCGAGTTATGTAAGGAATAAACATCTATCTTTGTTAATTTAGGAAGCCATGTAGAACTCAGTGCCTGCAGTCTGTCCTGGGATTGTCACAGGTAGTGTGTTCCAAAATGCAGACACGAGTCCCCTCATTCTGTGATGTGTGCACCCAAACTGCCTCTGAAGATTTCATACATAGGTGGTCAAGCACCATTAGGGCAAGCAGCAGAACTCTGACCGGTCACATTTCGAACTCTTAGTTAGGGCAGAGCTAGATCATCAGCGAGAAGGATAAACTTCATACCCTAGGTGTCCTGGTCGTATACAGAATGTAGAGCAAAAGTTCATTGGACAAACATTCTAAAAATAGAATTACTATTTGCTGTTTCCAATTCCTCACAGCTAAGTAACGCGTTTTATTGCCTAACTGTATGCTCTACAACTTGGAAAGGAACTAACTCAACCCAGACACTCTCTGTGAAGCACAGTTATCGGGTACTCTGAAGAGAGAGGCTGCTTAGCGTGGTGTCCTGAGAACCAGGGACTTGCTAATCCTACCTTCAGCTATTCATCCCTTCTGCAGCCTTTGATAAGTGTTTCTGCCTCAATCTCAGTTCCATCAACAGGAAAACGGGGACAATACTTACTTTCCCTATCCACAGGGGTATTATGAAAATTAGTATTTATGCAGTGCCCTGAAGACACGAATTATAACCTTATTAAAGATTTAATTGTGAAGAAATCCCCAGCTACTCAGCAAGTCCTTCAGAAGTAAATTTCAAGGCCACATTACATACCATAGATGTAAGGCAAATGGCAATGACAGCCTTAAAAAATTAGTGAAAACTCAAACACACAAATGAATTAGACCATGTAAATACACCACCTGAGCAAGAACTGAATGCTTTAAGCTACAACAGAGCAACTTCAGTTCACCTTCAAAAGGAAATACAGACTGCTCAACACTTTTTCAACATATAATAGTAAGGTTTGATAAAATGCACTCCAAAAGAAAAGATTATCAGAATTCTTTCTAGCATCTAGACTTCGTTTTCCACTT